TATATATATAGTAGTAGTAGTATATATATATATATATATATATATATATATATATATATATATATATATATATATATATATATATAGTTATGTAACATACATATACAGATACGCAAAGACGCACAAACATTATATATGTATTTATTGGTATTTTTAAACAACACGCAATCAAGTTGAAGCAGAAATTCAAAGCAGAAAATCAATATACAAAAGTGAGAAAAGTAATTAAAGCGGAATAACCGAGCGGAGTTTCTTAGAGCGCTCTTAGATGTATTTTTTCTTAGAGATTAGTTTAGATTAGCGTGTGTGTGCGTGCGCGTGTGCGTGCGTGTGAGTGCGCGTGCGTGCGTATGAGTGCGTGCGCGTGCGTGTGAGTGCGTGCGCGTGTGAGTGCGTGCGCGTGAGAGTGCGTGCGCGTGTGAGTGCATGAACGTGTGAGTGCGTGCGCGTGTGAGTGCGTGCGCGTGCGAGTGCGTGCGCGTGTGAGTGCGTGCGCTTGTGAGTGCGTGTGTGCGTGCGTGTGCGTGCGTGCGCGTGTGCGTGTGTGCGTTCAGGACGTTCTGGGTTGGCGCGTATGACGATCAACCCACCGGCCCACCGAGACAAATAATTATCTCACGTGCTCATTTTCTCATTGTCTCATGTGACGTGACCAATCCTCCAGGGGTAGTACCAGTCATTGTAAAACACACAGTCTAATGTCATCATGCATTGGGAAGGCCGGGGCTACACTCCGGGTCAAAATTAAGGTTTGAAATGTTCATGAATAAAGAATTACAGCTTCGCGTTCTTTTCACTCGTTTCCTGGCATTGATTCTTGGACGGTGGGCCATGGCCCGGGTTCACGCTTCACGGTGTTGATGACGTATCCTTGTTTTTCTCCAGCGAATTGGTTTTTTAATGTCAGTTTAAACCTAAACGTATTCCCCATAATTATGCGCGATATGTGTTGTAGGGCGAGTGGTAATGAGAGTAGGGTAATATACTATTGTGTTTGTATAGGCTGTGAGTGTCCCGATACCTTTAGCAAACAATCGCCTAAATGGATGCACCAATAATCCTACAATGCCAAATAAACTGGCCCTTTCCAAACATTACATCGAAATCATGTCAGTTACTTCACTTTCCTATATGATCACATCTGCCCACATACGCATTTCTCGTATTCATATTTGGTTGCTACTCCAGACAGAACGCATAGCAACTGTTAATATAAATGAGATGAGCAATACATATTGGCTACAGAATGATAGAAGGACGACATTGCCATGAATGACAGCTTTATCTATTTGATAATTTGGTAAAATACTTGGTCGCTGGCAGAAGTATAAAGCACGTCATTTTGGACGCGGGCACATCAAGGTGGATTTTTATTAATTGCAAAAAACAGTAAGTAAGATACAATTAAATTAGCTATGTAAATTCTATCGAAGCACAAAGTTGTTATGAAACACGTACCGACCTTCAGTGACATGTCTAAATTATTTGAAGCCGTACTACATCTTAAATTGGGTACCGACATAAATTAGGTTTCGCGATAACATCAAAGATGTGTAAGATTTAAAGGTTGTACAGTTCACAGAAAATCTAACGGGAAATCGTCCCAATTACGCGACACATAATGGGTACGTCGTACGTATGAGTGTGTGCGAAAATTACATCATATAATGTAACATAACCTTTGTTTATTTAGCCGAAAACATGCATATATATGTACATATAAATATGTAATATATACATAAATATATTCAGGAGAGGATCTAGGGGGTGTCCGGGGGGTCCGGACCCCACTTTAATTTCAAAATGCCCTAAACATTTTCATCCCAATTTTTTTAGGGCTAGTTTTTCTGATAATGATTTACTAAATACTTGAATCTATATATATATATCAATTCGTTATAAAAACCTAAAAATGGACAAAGAGGAGGTCCGCGGGGCGTCCGGGGGACCGGATCTGATCAATTTTGTTTTTTTTCAACCAGAGGTGAATTCCAGAGGATTATTTTCTGCTAAAAATTTGGAATTCCATCTTGCATTCTAGACATTAAAATTACTGCTCAGATGCTCTCAGAATGCACCAATTTTAAAAAAAATCTTAGGGGAGGTCCCCCAAGGAAGTGCCTTCGTGCATTCGGCAGGTTTTTAAAACACCAGAAAAATTATGCAGAAAAAATTGCCCTTTCATTTTTCCTGGACACCACCCTTTCAAAAATCCTGGATCCGCCCCTGATATTATGCGCCAAATATACGGCGTAAAGTAATAATCACGTACGCTTATATTTTACAGCATATCTAGTAAAACATTTGACAGCTTATAAATTTCCCCATTAGTTCATTGCATTTTTACTGAAGCTATCGATGAATTACATATGAGTGCGTCTACAATATTTCCAAGCACAAGTCGATATAGTGTTGACAAGCCCGTTATAATTTCATATTTCATCATGTATTAGACAATTAGATGGTGATGTACACAGTAAATTATAGTGTATTATTGTGTAACTCGATCATTTAGATACATATGAAATAAGTATGATATGAGTGTGAGAAGGAACAGAAGGTGAATAAGAATGTCTGAGACCGACTATAGGAATTAAGCAACCAGGCACGTGTGTGTGCGGTGGAAGAAAAATAAAATGTTGGAATACGAGAAAACGACTATGACAGAAATGACAGAGAAAGACAGAGAGAGAGAGAGCGCAAGAGAGATATGAGAGAGAGAGACAGAGAGAGAGAGAGAGACGAGAGAGACAAGAGCCGGAGAGAGAGATAAAGAACAGAAAAGAATAGAGAGAGAGAGAGTGAACGAGAAAGGAAATGATAAGAAAATATGAACCTAGAGCAGTGGTAACACGGTATAGACGGTCGGCTGAGGGGGCTTGTAGGAGATCGGAAATATGGAGGGAGAACGAAAGTGTATCAGAAAGAGAAAGAGAAAGAGGAATATTAAAATGAAAAAGACGAAATAAATATCCGAATGAGATGAATAGAAGAATGGAATGAAATGAGATGGTGGGAACGAGAAAGCTGCTATCCGGGGACAGGAGTAACACCTCTCACTGTTCCTCCTTTCACCCCAGATGGTCTTTACGCCTTGTGCTCCTCACGCCGGCCCGTGTTCATCACTTATTGGCCGTCTTGGTATATCACTTTGCGCGTTCTACTCCAGACAGAATTCTTACAAAACCACTACCTTGCCAGTTGAACATGACTATAAACATTCACGCGTGTGGACAATTCTTTAACGAATGAATCGCATTCCGGCTTTAAGGTGGGAGTGTTGGGGATGTGCTGATGAAAGAGCATACCTCTATATAGTGGTATTATAAGTCCATACTATAAATAAGAGTATAAGTAATTATGGTGACGTTAGTGTACAAATGTCTAATCAGATCGTAAGGACTCGCATTGTTTGACACATGATCCCCGTTCCTTGTTTCGATATGGTTTCAATCCTAGACATTCATTATTTTAGTTGCTCGCACGCGTCGGTTGAAATAGTGAAATTATATATATATATATATATTCTATATATATATATATGCGCGTGTGTGTAAATGTACCCATCTTTCATCTTATTGCTAAACAGCATTACACGCCCATAGAAATAGCAATAGCAGTATACGTGATGATACGTGATGAACGGCAAAGTATATATATATATATATATCGTTACGATTCTGCCAGCCTTGTACTTTATAACCGCCGAGCCGAGGGTAGTTTAGGGTATGGTTTGACGATCATAACCAGCCGCCATGCACATTCTACCCCCATGCATATACTCAACTTCCGCTAAAAATATACCAACATTTATTAGCGACAATCATTCAAACACTATAATCAGCTTTAAGATGTGAAGTTTGGTAGGAACTGTTTGTTTTCACTTTTCAGAATATGTTGCAAGTCAAATGATAATTCGTCGGGTGCTAGCTTTAAAAAAAACATATACTTGAAATAGATAACTATAATTATATATTATATTCTTTAATCAATAGTATCCTCGGTAATAGATCTATACCATTCCGCCATTTATGGGAGTAAATTATTATAATCAATGCTAGCAACCCGGATCCAGGAGTCATTATCGTTCGTAGGGCCATTCACGATACTACACAAATTAATTATCTTCGCATGCTTGGTGCGCCTGGTGCTTGGTGCTTCGATGCTTGGAACACCTGTGTTTATACCAATATGGTACCGAAATCAGTAGATACTAGCCGGTTAGTGGACATTAGATTTAGCAACTGTTGGCGCTCGCAGGTTAAGCAGGCATACTTGTACCCGGGTAAATTGGCGGCTCCGGACAATCTATTTATACAGCGATATAACTGGAAGCTGGACGCTGGCTAGCAGTCATCACTGATTGGACAGCGGATGACGCAAACATACCAACCACCAAAGTTTCATTATGTAAACCCTAGCCTCTTTGTTTCTTGATCTCTAACCACAGAAAGAGTTATAAATAGGGGAGCTATTTACAATCAACCAGAGCCAGTTTGGACCAGTGCGGGAGCATAGGAAGTTGTGTCCGGGTTGATCGCACATCATAGTAGTAGGTAAGATCTACATTTTCTTTCTAATTAACTATATCTTTCGTCCTGTCTATGATGTAGATTTGTTTTGCAGCGTGTTTTCTTTAAATATGTGAATTGTATTGTATGAGATATGTTGCAACGTATTTGCCAAATTTCATTCTAGTGTGTGCTATTATTTGTCTGGCTTGCGCAGACTTATTTTATGCCACAGATTTAATCATCTGAGATAAGCAATTAGGGAAATTGTAAACAATGTGTCATCTTTTTTGGTTCTGGCTTCGGTAACTGTAACTCGAAAAACATTTCGGAATTCTTATTTATTAACATATTTGTAACCTGAATGAAGAGAGGAAGTGTGCGAGTGTTTTGGTTAGGAAGCGAGGTTTTATAGAGAACGAGTAAGATAGAGCGCGAGTTTTGGAGAGAGCGAGTGTTGGCAAAAGCCAGAGAAAATGACAGATGGAGAGAACGAGAGAAATGAATGATGGAGGGTGCGAGTGATAGAGATGGTCAGTGTAAGAAAGGGAGAGCGAGTTTTGGAGAGAGCGAGTAATGGAGAAAACGAGTGTTGAGGAGAGCGAGTGTTGGAGAGAGCGAGTGTTGGA